ACATAAATCAAAAACAAAAACAACAACAAAAAACACTATAAAAGGAAACAAACTCACCGATAAAGGGTTGAGCGATGGCATAGTACCTGTCCATAGCTATGAGTGCCATCGTGATAATGGACACAGTGCCAAACAGTGCCCCGCAGAAACCGTAGACCTGAAAGACAAAAAAAAAATTGAAATTGAAAAAAATGAAGTATTGATTTGGGAATTATTTGAAGTGTTGAAAATCTGTTTTTTTTTTCATTATTATTATTTTTTTTATATTAGGGAATGAGATTGGGAATCATTTATTTGAATTCTTCGTCTCGCATCATCTCTTCCATTTATTTTCGTAAAAAAGAGAAAAAGAAAATGGCCAAAGAGAGAGGAAGAAACACGGAGAAAGAGAGACACAGAAAGGGAGAATGAGAAGGAGAGAGAGAGAGAGAGAGAGAGAGAGAGAGAGAGAGAGAGAGAGAGAGAGAGAGAGAGAGAGAGAGAGAGAGAGAGAGAGAGAGAGAGAGAAAGTGCCAGAAAGAGCGAAAGAGAAAAATAAACAGAGAGAAAGAGAGAAGGATAAAGAGAGAGGGAGACAGACAGAAAGATCAAAAGAGGAGAAAGAGAAGCACACAGAAAGAGAGAAGAAGAGAGAGACAGACAGGCAGAAAGAGCGAAAGAGAAGAGAGAAAGATTGTGAGAAAGAGGAAAGAGACACACAGAAAGAGAAAAGAAGAAATAGACAGACGAAATAAGCGAAAGAGAAGAAAGAGAAGAAAAAAAGAGAAGCAAACACAAAGAACAAAAAAAGAGAGAGAGAGAGAGAAAAAAAAAAGAGAGAGAGAGAGAGAAAAAAAAGAGAGAGAGAGAAAAAAAAAAAGAAAAAAAGAAAAAAAAAGGAAGAGAGGTCACGCTTCGAGTTTCGAACATCAACCCGAAAGGAGAGGAGTCGATACCCGCAAATCTCCTCCGCCTCCTCGTATGATAATGCAATTAAAGAGCTTGATCGACATCGACGGGGATTTCAAATTTCGTCGACCGTCATCCAGTCTTTGATTCGCATATGCGTCTGATTCGTTCGGTTGGGGGGGGAGGGATGGAGGGAGGGAAGGAGGGAAGGAGGGAAGGAGGGAGGGAGGGTAGGACGGAGGGAGGGAGGGAGGGAGGGAGGGAAGGAGGGAGGGAGGGAGGGAAGGAGGGAGGGAGGGAAGGAGGGAGGGTGGGAAGGAGGGAGGGAGGGAGGGAGGGAGGGAAGGTGGGAGGGATTGGAGAATGAGGGAGAAGGAAGGAGGGAGGGAGGAAGAGAAGGAGAGTGAGGGAGCGAACGAGAGGAAGGGAGGAAAGTGAGAGAGAGAGAGAGGGAGGAAGAGTGGGAAATGGGAGGGAGGGAGAGAGGAGAGGGAAGTGGCAAGGAGAGAGAGGGAGGAAGAGTGGGAAGTGGGAGGAGAGGGAGGGAGGGAGGATGGGATTGAGAGAGAGAGAGAGAGAGAGAGAGAGAGAGAGAGAGAGAGAGCGAGTTGTTAAGCAAGAAAATTCTTCTCTCGGCGATGGGACTTCCGCTACCGACTCTTGCAATCAAATGGCTGCATTCACCACGCTCGTTCAACGCACCAGGCAAGTCTGATGATTGCAACAACTGCCGGTCTTCCATCAAGCCGAGGGAATCAGCGGCCATATAAGCCTGACAGACTGAGCATCCTTTCCTTTCCTCTTATCACGCGGGTCCTCTTGGAGGCGTCCTGCTACGCCATCCCCATCCTCTTAGGCTTTTAAAGGAAGGACGCGACCATTACTTTGCGTGGATTGCAAGGCAGCCGCGAAGAAGTAGTTCACAGATTCATGCAGCAACGTTCTTGGATCAATATGCTTAACTCTTTATATATATATATATATATATATATATATATATATATATATATATATATATATATATATATATATATATATGGAGTATGTGTATGTGTGTGTGTGTGTGTGTGTGTGTGTGTGTGTGTGTGTGTGTGTGTGTGTGTGTGTGTGTGTGTTGTTCTCTAGGCAACTATCACTGTGAACAAAAATTGCCAAAATGCCTTGACTGAGGGCTTTTTTTACCAACTTTGGTTAAACTGCCATTTATGTAGTCTTTCAAATAGTTTTTTGCAACTCTTTTCCGCAGCGAATCTCGTAGACTAGAAACAGGCATCTCTTATCACAAGGCCGTTCTTTCACAACTTACACAAGCGAACATGAAACCTACAAGTGGGGAATGCATGCCACTGAGGTATGACAGAATGGACACGATATGACAAGATCCTTCCAAAGAGCAAATAGCATACACTTATCCTTGAAGATACTAACTGATGTTACGTGGATTTGCATATCTTTTATTCTCGCCGTACGATAATAGTATATGTCATCACTAATACTACATCTAATGAACACTAACGAAGGCTAATCAAAGTCCACGGGTGAGCATCACGCATATCGTTAGTACACGTGAAAACAACCCACATATGTGTGAAATACATATCTGTATAATGATACTCAAACAAACCGAGGAACAAAGTAAATACACATACACACACACACACAAACACACACACACACACACACACACACACACACACACACACACACACACGCACGCACACACACACACACGGACACGCACGCACACACTTATTATAATTCGCTAAGGCGTGCGTGTGTACCTTACAGTGCAATAGTTACACAAAGCTTGAGGGGATAAATATATTTTTAGAAATGACGTTGGATTTGACTTTCATCCGAAGTGCACTTGACAAGTGGTTATTCAATAGAGGAAAATCAGCACAAAATCTATTCCACGGACATCTAATCATTATATAATGAGAATGAATATCTTCCCAGTGCAAGACATGTATTCGACCGGTTTCGATTATATCTTCGTCAGAAATAGACACATCAACGAAATTTCAAAGCATGTATCTAACTGGTTTCGATTATATCTTCGTCAGAAATAGACACATCAACGAGATTCAAAGCATGTATGTAACCGGTTTCGATTATACCTTCGTCAGAAATAGACACATCAACGAGATTTCAAAGCATGTATTTAACCGGTTTCGATTATATCTTCGTTAGAAATAGACACATCAACGACATTTCAAAGCATGTATTTGACCGGTTTCGATTATACCTTCGTCAGAAATAGACACATCAACGACATTTCAAAGCATGTATTTAACCGGTTTCGATTATATCTTCGTTAGAAATAGACACATCAACGAAATTTCAAAGCATGTATCTAACCGGTTTCGATTATGTCTTCGTCAGAAATAGACACATCAACGAGATTTCAAAGCATGTATTTGACCGGTTTCTATTATACCTTCGTCAGAAATAGACACATCAACGAGATTTCAAAGCATGTATTTGACCGGTTTCTATTATACCTTCGTCAGAAATAGACACATCAACGAGATTTCAAAGCATATATGAGCTGAAGAATTACTTGACGACTGTGACCTGTTGCTCGTTACCCGCATGACTGAGATGCCCAAATGGTGATCCCACTGTCCTCCGTCGCGATGTAAGCAGCCTCCATTATTTATTTATTTATTTATTTATTTTAATTCAGTCCTTCCATGATCGCTTCTACCTCAGTTCGGCAGATGACTAGATTCATCTACAATAGACAATAGATCCCGGCGCTGAAACCACATCCTGTTTCACCGTATTATGCTCATATCAACATTTGTAAGATGGCGGCTTTCTGTCTGTCTCGTACTATATCCTATATCATCTTACCAGGTATATTAGCAATTTCTACTCCATTATCCAATTCCCCCCCCCCCCTAGGTAATATTACGTGCCGGTAATACGAGGAATTTTGAAAGTGAGTGCAGGGCCTGATCTCGGTGGCACTCGTTATGTTCTCTGTTTATTCTTTGAGGTCCAGAAAGTTACCTCTGGGATTATCGTCATAACGTTAAAAGGTTGCTTCGACGCTCATCATGGTCAAGAGGAGGGTATTTCTAATGAGGCAGTTGAGAGGGAGAGGGGAGAGAGAGAGAGAGAGAGAGAGAGAGAGAGAGAGAGAGAGAGAGAGAGAGAGAGAGAGAGAGAGAGAGAGAGAGAGAGAGAGAAAGAGAGAGAGAGGGAGGGAGAGAGAGAGAGAGAGAGAGAGAGAGAGAGAGAGAGAGAGAGAGAGAGAGAGAAAGAGAGAGAGAGAGAGAGAGAGAAAGAGAAGAGAGAGAGAGGGAGAGGAGAGAGAGAGAGAGAGAGAGAGAGAGAGAGAGAGAGAGAGAGAGAGAGAGAGAGAGAGAGAGAGAGAGAAGAGGCAGAACAGAGAGAGAGAGAAGAGAGAGAGAGAGAGAGAGAGAGAGAGAGAGAGAGAGAGAGAGAGAGAGAGAGAGAGAGAGAGAGAGAGAGAGAGAGAGAGAGAGAGAGAGAGAGAGAGAGAGAGAGAGAGAGAGAGAGAGAGAGAGAGAGAGGGGGAGACAGAGAGAGAGAGAGAGAGAGAGGGGGGGGGGGGAGTCTCGGTAACAAGGTCTAACGTCATTTCCCATCGGATCTTCTTCCCTTTCAGGTTAATTAGGGATGCAGTTAACAGCAGTTCTGGATAAAGGGTTGGGGGGAGGGGGTTGTTTGAATATACTTGCACACATGGATACAGACGCATGCATACTTACACAAACACAGATTCACACACATATACGCATATATATGATTATATGTATGTATATCTATACATATGTATTCATATATATAAATAAATATATTATACCGCAAACACATACATACATATATGTATATATATATACACACATACATATATGTGTGCATGTATTAGTGTGTGTGTTTGTATGTGAATATTAAACGCACACACACATATATATGTATATATATATATATATATATATATATATATATATATATATATATATATATATATATATATATATATATATATGACTGTTGCGATAGCTCAGTGGTTAGAGCACTGAACTCCGACCCTCGTGGTCCCGGGTTCAATTCCTCGTCGCGGCAGTCGTAAAAATGCCTGCGCTCTGACTGCTACCTCGAGCCCGTGAAAACGACATATCGGCTTGAGAAGTCAGACGCAGGTGTCGTAGGGGAAGTCACCGCCGTGGCACAAGTGTTAACGCGCCGAACCGCGGTTGATTAAGAAGGGCATTCAATCAGGCAAGGGTAACA